GGGTCACAGGTGTGCCGGGATCACAGGTGTGCTGGAGTCACAGGTGTGCTGGGGTCACAGGTGTGCTGGGGTCACAGGCGTGCGCCACCACAGCCAGTTTTCTACATTTTTACTCACTCCTCCTACACAGAGATGCAGAGACCTAACATCTCTAACTGCAAATACACTACTGAATTTTCTTTTTGTCATTATTTGAAGATAGCAAATTGCAGCAAATAAGCCCCATGCACCTCACTTCTCTTGCTCTTTATCTAGAAGCCGGACGACACCAGGGCTGCTGCGGGCTAAGCAGACATTCTGCTACTGAGGTGCTCATCCTGGGCCCACAGCACCTTTAAAAGTTATCTATGTTTTTAATTTTTATTATTTTATGTGCATGAATTTTTTACCTGCATTATGTGCACCACGTGTTTCTGAGGAGACCAGAAGAGGGTGCAAGGTCTCCAGAAACAGGAATCACAGATGGTTATGGGTGTGAACCACCATGGGGGGCTGGAAGGCAAGCCTGGGGCCTGGGGCCTGTGCAGGAGCAGCCAGTGCTCTGTTTTAAATTTGTTTATTTTTATTTTATGTGCTTGGTGTTTTGCCTGATGTCTGAAGGTAGCAGATCTCCTGAAACTTGAGTTACAAACAGTGGTGAGCTACCATGTGTGTGATGGGAACTGAACCCGGGTCCTCTAAAAGAGCAGTGAGTGCTCTTAACCACTGAGCCATTTTTCCAGGCTCTAGATCATTTTTGTAATTGACATTTAACAAGTGTTCGTATTTGTGGGATGGCATGATCCTTCAATATGTGCATACAATGAACAGCTACCAAGCAGGTCAATTAGCATTTCCACCTTCTGTTTGTTTTAAAGCCTACCAACTGTGTCAGTTGGTGGTGGCACACACCTTTAATCCCAGCAGAGGCAGGCAGATCTTTGTGAGTTCAAGGCCAGCCTGGTCTACAAGAGCTAGTTCCAGGACAGGAACCAAAGCTACAGAGAAACCCTGTCTCGGGGAAAAAAAAAAAAAAACCCTGCCAACTCTTCTACTTCTATATAAAATATCTAACAAGTGGGCCACTGAGATGACCTCCAATTCTAACAGCCCGGGTTCAATCCCCAGCACCCACAGGTGGAAGGAGAGAACTGACTACAAGTTGCTCTCTGGCTCTCATAACAGTGCTTTGGCATATGAGTGCCCTCAATACTCAAAATAATGGGTTTTGGTGGTGGTGGTGTGGTTTCTTGAGACAGAGTTTCTCTTTGTAGTCCTGGCTGTCTTGGAACTCTTTTTGTAGATCGGGCTAGCCTCAAACTCAGAGATCTGCCTACTTCTTCCTCCCAAGTGCTGGGATTAAAGGCATGTACCACCACACCTAATTTAGAGCAAAGTAAAAAATATATATAAAATAGGGGGCTGGACAGATGGCTCAGAGGTTAAGAGCACTGATTGTTCTTCCAGAGGTTCTGAGTTCAATTCCCAGCAACCACGTGGTGGCTCACAACCATCTGTAATGAAATCTGGTGCCCTCTTCTGGCCTGCAGAGACACATGCAGACAGAACACTGTAAACAAGTAAATAAATCTTTTTTTTTTTTTAAGATTTATTTATTTATTATGTGTACAGTGTTCAGAGAGGGCACCTGATCTTATTATAGATGGTTGTGAGTCACCATGTGGTTGCTGGGAATTGAACTCAGGACCTTTGGAAGAGCAGGCAGTGCTCTTAACCACTGAACCATCTCTCCAGCCCGTAAATAAATCTTAAAAGAAAAAAAATTAAAATAGCTGGGTGGTGGCCAGCCTAGTCTACAAAGTGAGTTCCAGCGGGGCTACTCAGAGAAACCCTATCTTGAAAAAACAATAATAATAATAATAACAAAGTAATAATAATAAGCTGGGTATGGTGCGTGGTGGTATGTGCCCTGAGCCAACCAATGTGGGTGCAGGAACTGAACCTCAAGTCCTGTACAGGAGAACTCAGGGCCTTAACTGTGAGCTTCCTCAGCAGACTCCCCGATAAGCTTGCCTTCTGTAGGTTCTAGGACTTGAACTCAGGTCTTTGTGCTTGTGCAGCATGTGATCTTACATTTGAGCCTCCTCCTTAGCCCCAAATCAACCTTGTTTTGTTTGTTTTTGCTTTTTTGAAACAGGGTTTTTCCTCTGTGTAGCCCTGGCTGTGCTGGAACTCGCTGTGCTGGAACGCGCTCTGTAGACCAGGCTGGCCTTGAACTCACAGAGCTCCACCTGGCCTGGTACGTACGCGCACGTGCACCACAAGTATGAAGAACATGGAGATCAGACAAGGGCACCCATCCCCTGGAGCTGGGGGTGCAGCGGGGTGTGAGGCATCATCTGAACTGATTCAGCTTTGTCTTTGGAAACTGAACTCAGGTCCTCTGGAAGAGCAATCTCTCCACCCACCCAAGACCAGCTGTTTAAATGTCTGTATCAAAGCCAGTGTTTCAAACAATGGATCTTCTCACCTGACCACCTGAGCACCCTGCTCATGGTTCTGTCTCCAGCTCCACGAGCTTGCTTCTCTAATTTCATGAGGTTCTGTTGGCGGACATTCCAGACCAGCTGAGAAGAGAGCACACAGCAAGTGTATTTCCAGCTGGGTCTCGCTAGTGCCCATCCTGGGTGGCCAGGAGCCCCCTGACTTCTAGAGACAGGAAGGCTGACACTGTTATTGTGAAATCATTTGCATATTGTGAGGTGCTTTGCATAAGATGGCATGATTTGCATACAGGGAGGAAGACATCTTTAACGTCCCAGTGTGGCCTTCGCTAAACACCTTCTTGTGGCAAAGAATCCGATTGGACATTCTGTTTCAGAACCTCCATAAGGGCCCGGAGCGCATCCTAGGAGACGTATGAGGCTGGTGAAGAAAGCCAGACAGGAAGCTTTTGAACGGAGCTGGTAGCCTAGAAAGCACCAATGTTAAAGAATGTATCAGCTGGGAGCGGCGCCATAGGCCTGGTGTGGTGGTGCACCCTCTTAACCCCAGCACTCGGGAGGCAGCGGTGCCGTAGGCCTGGTGTGGTGATGCACCCTCTTAACCCCAGCACTCGGGAGGCAGAGGCAGGCGGATCTCTGAGTGCGGGGCCAGCTTGATCTACCAAGTGAGTTCTAAGACAGCAGCGTTACACGGGGAACCCGTTTTGGTGGGGAAAAAAGAGTATAAAGTGTATCTGATAGAGTGCTTGGTCCAGCAATGCATCCATCAGGTGTAGGAGTGCACACCTACAATCAGGAGGTCCAGACACTCTAGTCTTCAAGTTCAAAGATGGTCCAGGATGAGACCTTATATCACAACATATCAATAAATAAACCAGGAGTATGGCACAGTCTTTTTTTTAATTATTTATTTATTATGTTTACAACATTCTACCTCGATGTATGCCCGCACACCAGAGAAGGGCGCCAGATCTCAGTACAGATGGTTGTGAGCCACCATGTGGTTGCTGGGAATTGAACTCAGGACCTCTGGAAGAGCAGCCAGTGCTCGCTCTTAACCTCTGAGCCATCTCTCCAGCCCCATGGCACAGTCTTTAATCCCAGCACTGAGAAGGCAGAGGTAGGCAGATCCTGTGAGTTCAAGGCCAGCTTCATCTAGTTCCAGGAAAAGCCAGTCTCAAAATAAATTAAACCAATAAACAATGAAGAAACATATATGCAACACACACTGAAGTAGGTGAGGCATCAGCTGCACTGTGTGAGTTCAGTCGCCCTCAGAGCACCCAGAAAGAACAAGTGACCAGCCACAGAAGTAGAGAGCTGCCAAAGGAGGTGAAGGCCAGAGACCCTCACTCTGTCAGTCTGCCCAAGGGATGAGCCCAGACATTAGCCTTGGCTGAACGTTCTTCTGCACCAGTTGCTGGCTAATTCCTAGAAAAGGATGCAAAGGGGATTTTAGGCCACATTTGTACTGTGTTCAGGCTTAGAAATGAGGTGACTATCACAGGCCCTAGGTACATCCAAGTTGAATTCTGGCTCTGCCATTTGTGTGGCTGCCATAAACCAATACAACAGTCAGTACACATCTGATAAAAATAAGGAACTGCCGGGCGGTGGTGGCGCAAGCCTTTAATCCCAGTATTCGGGATGCAGAGGCAGGCAGATCTCTGTGAGTTCGAGACCAGCCCGGTCTACAAGAGCTAGTTCCAGGACAGGCTCCAAAGCTACAGAGAAACCCTGTCTCAAAAACCAAAAAAAAACAAAAACAAAAAAAAAAAAAAGCTAGTTCCAGGACAGGCTCCAAAGCTACAGAGAAACCCTGTCTCAAAAACCAAAAAAAAACAAAAACAAAAAAAAAAAAAACCCTAGTTTCAGGACAGGCTCCAAAGTGCTACTGTCTCGAAAAAACAAACAAAACAAAACAAACAAACAAACAAACAAAAACCCCAAGGAATTGGTGAGATAACCCTAATTACTGATGGTACATAGTGTGTATTCAGTACAAAGCTACACTAAATCAGAGGACTACAGTAATTCTTGTCATACTTGCTCCAGTGGAGTGCAGGCCCAGTAGTGCAGGGTTAAGGGAACACAAAGCCCTTTCTTTGTGCCAGGTTTGGAATTCCAGGGCACAGGGTCTAGAAACATGTATTGGATCTCAAAGGGTTACTGTCCTGGAGATAGTGGCCTGAGGTTCCAAGTGAAAAACCAAAGCATAAAAATAATTCGATGAGTAAGAATAAAATTCCCTCTTCTGAGGTACCGGGGCCAGGCCCCTCCCTGTGGCAGGCACTTCCCCTTTCCCTGGCTCATGGAGGAGCCAGGCGCGCTGGCTGACTCAGAACCACAGCCGCGCTCTTATCCCGGGACGGAGCGGTCTGGCGGCCACGCGCGCCCTCGTGTGGCCACTGCGGAGACTGCATGCCCGGAACGGTCGCGGTCCCCGCGTGGCGGCTGCCCTCACCTAGCTAAACCCGACTAAAAGCGGTGCCCGCGGGTCTACCCACTTCCGTCCTGCCCTCTCCGCAGCCCCGTAATCCGGCCCGAGCGGAAGTGCACTGACCGCGCGGGTCCCCCATGGCTAAGAAGCGGAAGCGCCCCCCCGCCGCCGCTCCGTCTAGCCCCCCGGAGCCGGGCGCGTCTGGTTCCGGACTGTCCCGTGTGACGTGGCTGCACGCCGGGGGTGGCTCCGGGCCGGGGGCCTAGTGGCGGGGGCCGGGCGAGGCAGAGCCGGGGCGGGGCGCGAGCCTGCAGCTGGATGGCCGGGCCCGCCCGGAGCGCTGCAGCTGCCGCCGCCGCCACCGCACGGTGAGTCGCTGGACCCTCAGGCCCGCGTCCGGGGTGGGATGGACCGTGTCGATTCCCAAACCGGCTGCGGCTCGTCCAGAGTCTAGGAGTGGAACTTGCCTGCTTTTGACTCTTCCTTACTGCTCTCGTCCCACACTCTGCCCCTCATCTCTCTCAGCTGCCCCGCTTCTCTCCTTCCAGCAGATACTCTCTGGCTCACTTTCTTGACTCTCCTTACTCTTGCCTTCTCCGTTCTCTTCATACCCCATACTTCCAAGCCTGTGATCCCCTCGCCTCTGCATGACCCGCCAAGGACTTGACCTGGCTAGGGCCTGCCTTGGTACTAGTGAAGCTTCGCCCCCCCCCCCCCGTGGTAGCTGTGGGGGGTCTAATTAAGGCCTAAGATCCCAGATATAGGCTTCTACTCACCAACCAGAGGAAGGAAACTGAGGCAGTTCAAGGTCACAGTAGGTACAGACAGGGCAAACCACACTCAAACTTTCCAGATTGAGCTTCTTGCTTGGTTGACTCATCCCCATCGGGTGATCTGTCTGCAGAACACATTCCTTCTGGGAGTGCTTCAGGCCTCCTCTGGCACATGGCTTATGTTCTCTCCTCCATACCATCAACTGCCTGAACTATCAAGCCCATCTCATATCGGTATCTCTGTGAGGGAGGCATTACCCAGATCCATTCCCTGATGAAGACCAGACTGGGAAGGGGCAACAGGAATTGCCCACAGTCAAACAGCTTAAAATCTAGATCACCAAATTAGTTAGCCACAAGTCATCAGCCTGTGCTCCTGCATCTGTGAGGCATCTCTTCTCTCCTGCTCCACTTGTCTCTTGCCACCCAAGAGATCATTTGGGGGAAGAGGTTTGGACCACTGCTCAGTTCCTCCACCTGTGCTCCCCATCAAGCTCATTGCTGGCCTGAGACCCTGGGGTGTCTTCACAGACACATCCTGGCAGCCAAGCCTCTCCTGGCAGCTAGAGACACCCAGCAGGGATGGGCCCTCCGGTGGCTGAAGGAAGCCCAGGCAGTGCCTCACCCAGTCATTAGAGAAAGTTTAGCCTCAGGCGGACACATTGACACACAGGCTGGAGCCAGCTCAGAAGGAAAAAATGTGCGGTTCTTGGGAGAAGTATAGAGGAGCAGAACCCCTTTGCTGTGTTCACCCATCCTCGGGAGCAAGCAGGAGGGTGATGCCATGGTCATTTGAGACGGGAGGAGATGCTACGCTTCCTGAGTGGGCATGTGGTCCACGGAGGCAGCTCACATGAGCAGCCTTTGTGTTTTCCAGCAGCTGGCATGCCTGGATGTCCCTGCCCTGGCTATGGGATGGCAGGCCAAAAGGTCCTCTTCCTCACTGTCCTTGCCCTGGAGCTCCTGAGAAGGGTTGGAGGTTCTCAGCCAGCCCTCCGGAGCCTGGGGGCTGCAGCTGCCTGTTGCCTGGATGATAAAGAAAGCGAGTCTTGGGGTACTTTGCTGAGTGGGGAGCGACTGGACACCTGGATCTGCTCCCTCTTGGGCTCCCTCGTGGTTGGACTCAGTGGGGTTTTCCCCTTGCTGGTCATTCCCCAGGAGATGGGGACCATGTTACACTCAGAAGGTGAGTGGCCCTTCAGTGGCCTCGAGAATCCTCACAAAAGGAAGGAAACATACTGCTTGCTTTTGGGAAAATGCTGAGTCTCATGTGCCGGGTACACTGTGTCTGGAGCAGTGCCACCTTGGTCCTGTGGGAAGATGGTATACAAGCTCATTTGTTCATTCATTTATGCATCTGCTTCTTACTTCATTCAGCAAACATTTCCCAGACGTGGTATGAACAGTGGCTGGCAATGTGGCTGCCACATTACCTGGGCTCAAATCCTGGCTCTGCCACCCACCAACTAAGTAGAACATGGCAAATCACTTAATCTCACTCTGCCTTAGTCTGCCAGACTTTAAAATAAGGCTGATAGGTCTGATCATGCAGTTCAGTAGTAGAATGGGTGCCTCACGTGTCCCCAGCAGCCTCCCCCGCCGTGAGAGCAGTACTGTCACTGACCTGTGAGTTTTAGATGAGCACTTGGGGGATCGCCTGGTGCAGGCGTTTACAGGCTCATGTTGAACCCAGAGTACAGAGGTGAGCAAGTGCTGCCTGCTCCCCAGTTTGGGTTAGTAGTCTAAAGGCTAGGGATGTAGTAGCTGGTGCTGTTGTGCTTGCCTGGTACACAGGAAGTCAGTCCCCAGCTGAATACAGCTCTTACTGAAAATCCCAGAACTTGAGTGAAGGCAGAAGAACCCGAAGTTCAAGGTTATCTTTATTTAGCTACATAACCAGGCAGAAGTCAGCCTGTGCTGTGTGAAACCCTTTCTCAGAGTATAAAAAGAATGTAGGGCTGGAGATGGCTCAGCTCTTAAGAGCACATACATTCTACTCTTCCAGAGGATTCAGATTCAGTTCCTAACATTTCATGTCAGGCAGCTCACAACTGTCTGTAACTATAGTTCCAGAAGGATCCTCTGGGCTTGGGGGCACCTGCATTCATAAACATGCATATAACTTAAAAAAGAATAAATCATTTAAAAAATAAAAGAAGGGCTCATGGAATGGCTCAATGGGTAAAGGTGTTTGCCCTACAAGCCTGTCAAACTGACTTCATTCCTGAAACCCATGTAAAGGAGGAAGGAGCGAACACACACTACAGAGTTGTCCTCTGTGCACCCCCGTGTGCACTCACACACATCATACACACACAATAATAGTAAAATAAGTGAATAAACAGAGTGACTGCCTTTTGCCATCTGCCATGCTCCTGGAGGATTGTTGCTACCACTTGTGAACCAAGCCTTCCTGGAACCTGTCGTGCCTATGCAATGTGTCCTTCCTCAGACAACCCGGGACGGGGTAGCGCTGGTAGGATGCTCACTTGGTGTGTATGAGGCTTGGCAGGGTAGTGCAGGATGCACTTGGAGTATTGGCTACATTCTACAAGTGGGAAGCATTTGCTTTCTGGCTAACTTGGAAACAGCAGTGTCCCCTGGGGGTCACTGCACCACGAGCGGCCGAGAAGCACTTCCAAATCTGGACATGCAAGTCATCAAAGTCCCTAAGTTTCTGTCAGGTTACTACAGGTGGCACTAACTGAGGCGAGATATTCCCATTGAATGAACATTTGCTTTATGCTTTGTTAATTCTGATCCAATTTGTACATGGGGAAACTGAGTCTCAGAAGTTATCTTCTGATGGATTGGAGAACTGGAACTTGCCAGGGCCCAAGCCCATCTCTTAACCAATATGCAGTAGTCAGTGAGTCCACAGTGGTCCCTCAAATTTTATGTTCCTACTGAGCACTCTGTGGGTTGGGGAAGAGCTACCCAGAAAAGCAGTAGTCTTTGGAAATACAGCCTTTGGGTGCACTTGGGAGCACAAGCTCAGCCCAGGCCCTCACGTCTGCTTGCAGCTGGAGCCTGGCGTCTGAAGCAGCTGCTCAGCTTTGCCTTGGGTGGACTCTTGGGCAATGTGTTTCTGCACCTGCTGCCAGAGGCATGGGCCTACACCTGTCGCTTCAGCCCCGGTGAGTGAGACCACAGGGCAGGACAGGAGGGCAGAACCTGTGCCCATGCCCAGGCTGGCCTAGGCCCTGCTGGCTCTACAGAGAGGGCCATGGGAGGGATATGGAAGAGAGATTCAGAAAACCTTGTCTAAGAGGGAAGGTCGAATTCCAATGTCCTGGCTTCTTTGGGGAGCTGCTTGTTCAGTAGGTGCCCCTCCCAAACCTCCTCCCTGAACTAGCCCTGAAATAGGCCCCATTCCAAATGACTCCCTTCTAGCCACTGGCTTGGCATGGCCTGTTAGTGCTTCCCCTGCAGGTGGTGAAGGACAGAGTCTGCAGCAGCAGCAACAGCTGGGGCTATGGGTCATTGCTGGCTTCCTGACCTTTCTGGCATTGGAGAAGATGTTCCTGAATAGCAAGGAGAAGGAGGGCCCCAGCCAGGTAAGCCACAAGACCCAGAGCCCGGATATGTCGGGTTGTGTTTTTTTTTTTTCCTGTTTTCTGCTTCTAAAGTAAATGAAAAAGTAAAATAAATACCCAGGGCCTGGAGAAGCCCAGGGTCTGAGTATCTCCTGGCTCTTCCCCGAGAGCTGTGGTGGGAAACTCCCAAGGATGGCAGTGCCAGCCTCTGAAGTAGTTTGATCTCATAGATGGATGATGACAGACTGTGGGGTTGAGGCCTGATGACAGATCAGCAAAGTCTAGCTAGATCAAGGAAATATTCTGTCTCTTGTCCCTCTCTCTCTGTCTGCCTGTCTGAGTGGGGGGCATCTAATGTCACCTCTCTCTCCTTCTTCTGGCCGTAGGCCCCCAGCAAAGACCCCACTGCTGCCGCGCTCAATGGAGGCCACTGTCTGGCCCAGCCGGCTGCAGAGCCCGGCCTGAGAGCCGTGGTCCGGAACCTCAAAGTGAGTGGCCCATGAGGGCCCCCCTCCTGCAGCCGCAGAGCTGAATGGCCAGCTCAGCTCTGCCTGCCTGGCTCAGCCCGGCTTTCTCTCCCTTCACCCAGGTCAGCGGCTATCTCAACCTGCTGGCCAACACCATAGACAACTTCACTCATGGGCTGGCTGTGGCTGCCAGCTTCCTTGTGAGCAAAAAGGTAAGGGGTGGGGCAAGTAGAGCTCTGGCATCTGGTGGAAAGGATACTAATATCTACCAATTTGATCGACCTCCAAAAGAAAGTCTCTGTTTCTTGCATTTACTAACAGTATCTTTGTGAAGTCCCTTGTCCCTGTCCCTCTGCTGGATGCTGCTCTAGCCTCTCCCTTGTCTCCCTTCACCTTTGTCCTCAGTGCGTGTCTGTGCTGGTACCACATGTTTGTGTGCTCTTGGAGGCCAAAAGATCCCCAAGCTGGACCTGGATCCTCGGAGCTAGAGTTATAGCAGTTGTGAGTGACCTAACATGGGTGCTGGGAACTGAACTCAGGTCCTCTGGTCCCCCACCTCTGTCGCACCTTTGTTCCCTTCTGCCAGCACTCACTAGGATGTCCCTATCAAGTCCCAACTACTAGATGCTTCTCCCTTCACCCACCACCTATTGTCATCTGTGCTCTGCCCCACTGCTCTGTCTACCCCAACACTAGGTAGTCACCGTGTCCTCCTCCTCCCAAACTCCTCACCCCTCGGACCTCAGTTGGACTGTACCTCTAAGAGGCCCTTGCCACCCCACCCCCAGTCTAGTCTTCCTCACAGCACTGTCTAGTCTTCCTCACAGCACTGCTCCAGATGGGGCCACGCAGGTGCTTGTCTTGTACCCTGTCTCGACCAGGCACCCCCAACCTGCAGCTTAGGAATGGCACTGTGCCCGTGTGCCGTGAATGCAGCCAGCACATCTGTAGGTGAATTCCACATTGCAGTGTTGAGGCTGTCAGTACTGAGGGCAGGCTCTTCCAGCCCAGAGCAGACTCAAAGCACAACACTTGTTTGTAGAGAGACTGGGTATGGGGGAAGCCTAGTTACCCAGCAGAGGCAGCAGACTCAGACTCCCATCTCTGCAGATTGGGCTTCTAACCACCATGGCCATCCTCCTGCATGAGATCCCCCATGAGGTAAGTGCCCAGAGGGTGGCCCCAAAGCCAAGGTCCCAAGGTTACCATGCTCAGCATGGGTGTGGCACTTGGCCAGGGCTTTGGGTGGGCCTTGCCCACAGGAGTGGTCTGGAGGAGGGGCATCGCTTCAATAGGTGCTGGCCCAGGGGCAAGGTAGACAGGATGCTGGGTGTTCATGTGGTCAGGCTCTGGGTGAACATCTATCTGGGCCTTTCCTCAGGTGGGTGACTTTGCTATCCTGCTCCGAGCTGGCTTTGACCGATGGACTGCAGCCAAGCTACAGTTCTCTACAGCCCTGGGAGGCCTTCTGGGGGCCTGCTTTGCCATCTGCACACAGTCACCCAAAGGAGTAGGTATGAGAGTGGTCATGTTCAGTAGAGGCAACAGCCAGACAGTGCCCCGCTGCTACTGGGCTCGTGTGCCTGGTCTGCCCTGCAGGAGGGCAGGGTACATACAGCCCCCTGGGCTTACCACCAGCTCATCGTTCCCTACAGGGGAGACAGTGGTCTGGACCCTGCCCTTTACCTCTGGAGGCTTTCTCTATATTGCCCTGGTCAACGTGTTGCCCGACCTCTTAGAAGAAAATGACCCGTGGTGAGTGATCTCCTGGGATGGCCACTGACGGGGTTCAGGAGGAGCCCTGCTCCTGAGTCTCCCCTCTCCCAACAGGCACTCCCTGCAGCAGGTGCTGCTGCTCTGCGCCGGCGCTGTGGTCATGGTGCTGCTTTCGTTCTTCGTTGAGTAACCATTCCTGACATCCCTCTCCGCATAGCAAGCAATAGAGAACCAACTCGCTCTGTGACTTTGTGTGTGAGAGGCAGAGGGTGAATGCTAGAACCAGCCTAGCACTGGACAAATGTGTGCAGGAGACCGACACTGTGACCCGTGTGCAGAGCCCAGCCACCCCACTGTCATCTAGCAGCAAGGAATGGCAGCGCTGGTGCCGGCACAGGCCTCCCTTCTCGCAAGAGTCCAGGGCTACAGAGAACCCCGGAACTGTCCCCCCTGGGCCTCTAACTCAAGACTAATTAAAGCTCTGCTCACATATCCAGGTCCCAAGCACCTAAGAGGCGGAGGCTGCACCGCTCTTTGCTGTCCATTTCCCCAGCCCTTCCTATGCCACCTCTACAGCCAAAGAAAGGGGAGTGGGTGCTCTTCCGGCCCCAGCCCCACTCAGCACTGAGCAGGCAGCTTCTCCAGGACCTCCTCCTAGGGGCTGCCACCCTGGCCAGCTCATGCTGTCAAACAGCAGTCTGCAAGGCACCATGTAATCCTCAGGCTAGCAGTCTCCAGTGCAGCTCCAAAGGCTCCCGCCAGCACACGGTTCAGCAGACATGCCCCGGGCAGGGAGAATGAGCCTTGCTGCCCTTACCTGCTCAGGCCCCTTGTCCTTTGGGTTGAGTAAGGTGGGGGTGGTGAGGGCTCCACATTGTCAGTGCTCAGGAATGTGAACTAGGAGAATGCTGAAGCCATAATCCCCAACTATTTCCCTTGGCTGACATCCAGGTACTCAGCTGGCCACTCAACAGCCAGACTTCAGCCCTTCTACTGTGGTGTTAGAGAAGTGGCCACTGAAGAGTCTGAGTGATTCCGTAGCAGTTACGCCGTGGTTCATCTTTATCTGTAAATACCTGTTCTATAGGTGTAAATAAATATTACCTAGACCACTCCCTGTTCCACATACTAGGGAGGTCAAGCAGAGCTCTGCTCAGTGCTCCGGCAGATCCGTTACTTGCTGAACTGAAGGTTTCCTATTTCCCCGCCCAGTTTCACTGTTAACCTTTCAGCCCAGGAATGCTTGAGCCTTTGTCACCATCACCTGATCTTATTTATTCCCTGATCCCCCTTAGTAATTCTTATCAAGGGATCAGGACCATCAAGTTATCTCCAGCTTTGACTTCACACTGTAATCTCAGCATCCAGGAATGGTAGCAGAAGGATCTGGAGTTAAAAGGCCAGCCTAGGCTACCTGAAACCACCATTTTGGAAAACAAGGGGGAAAAAAAGGAAGACATAGGAAGAACATAGGATATGGTAATACATGAGGTAGAACAATGAATTCCAGGCCAGCTTGGGCTACATAAGACCCTGTCTCACTTGATCCTCCCCATAGCACCCACCTCCCAAATATAGGCAGGAGGAAAAAGGGTCTTTACCGGGCCCCCTTCCTGACTGCACCATCACCATAACACAGCAAGGGGCACTGCTTCTCCATCCAACCCACTTTCCTCCCTAAGCCAACAGGCAGCCTTCAGCAGCCCCCTGGGTGGGATAAGTCAGTCATCTGTGCTGAGTCTAGTGCAAGCAGGTGGGACACCAAATCAGCCACCTCCTTAGCCGGGGATGCTCAGCTGTCAGTGTTCTGGCGTCACATCCGTCAGAGATCGGGTCTACCTGGCTGACTTCCAGGGACCTCAGGACAGAAAGGTCCAAGCCCGTTGTCTTTCCTCTCAGCAAGTGCTCAGGGCAGAGCTGTGGTGTGAAGCCCAGCTGGGAGGCTGACAAGCACAAGTATCACCGTTCACCACTGCACTCAGCCCGAGGGGTTGAAGGGCTCTGCTGTACTGAGGAAGCCAGGTGATGGTGGCGCCTGCACCATGCCCAAGAACACATTCTCTCTGGTTAGAAAGGAGGAGGGGGCACCTAAGCTCAGGCCAGAGGACAAAATCAGAAGCCCTTTAGCTGCTCAGCTCCTGGAGCAAGACATAATCAAACCACAATCAACAGGCAGCATGCAGAGCTCAGCGAGTCAGCACGTGGGTAGGGTCACACTGAGGAGAGCTAGCGAGGTGGAGCTTGCTGGAGTCATGTCCTCTAGGAAGAGCAAGGGGAAGAAAGGAAAGTGCCAAGGAATTTTTGCCCCTTTTTGGCAAAAAAGTGGAATTTTGAGGATTAACAGCTTTGAAGGACCATTCAGGGCTGCCAAAACAACTCATTGAAAAGATGAATGATGGGCCAAACAAGGTGGCATATGCCTTTAACCCTAACATTCTAGACTAATCTCAGAGGCCACAAGCAACTGAGTTCAACGCCAACCTGATCTACATCAAGTTCCAGGCTAGCCAAGACTTCATAGTGAGACCCTGTCTCTAAATAAATATAAAATTTTGATGCTACCTCATTTCATTACGCTGTAATTTCAGCCCAGCTGCTTGTGTCTGTAAAATGTAAACCCAGGTTAGTGAGCTGGATCAGTGGGTAAAGGTACTTACTGCACAAACTTGTTGATCTAAGTTGGATCCCTAGAACCCAGGTAAAGGTGGAAGGAGAGAACTGACTCCACAAAGCTGTCCTCTGATGGACATGTATCCTGACCACGTGCACACACACACAGTGAAAATAATACAGCGGCCATCCTGATAAAAAAAAATATGCATTAAGAACTATATAGGGGCAGGGATGTGTCTCAGGTAGTAGAGTGCTTGCCTAACATGAACTAAACCCTGGGTTCTATCCCAGCACCACATGAAACTGGAATGGTGGGAGCTGGAGAGATGGCTCAGAGGTTAAGAGCACTGGCTGCTCTTCCAGAGGTCCTGAGTTCAATTCCCAGCACCCACATGGTGGCTCACAACCATCTGTAATGAGATCTGGTGCCCTCTTCTGGTAAACATGCAGACAAACACTGTATACATAATATATAAATCAATCATTAAGAAAAGATGGGAATGATGGGACATGCCCATAGCTGTGACCGCACTGCCAAGCCAGAAGGCTGTGGGCTCCCACACGGCAGGGCAGGCAGCAGAGTAAGGCCGTGAGAGAGCGGTATGATGGACAGGCCTGAAGAGCCTGGGGAGAAACACGATGCCTACAAGCCAGGGTAGTGGGGTCTATTTCAAGAACTAAACCCTACATCTTACTGTATATGGCAACAAGAATTAGACTAGAGCACTGCAATGTGCAATGCAAGATGGGAAACTCTGGCTTCTCTTCAGGGTATTCCTTTGGGAACTCCAAGGCCACAAGCCTCTAAAGCAGTCAGCGCTGACTTAAGGAGACTTTGGGGAGGAGATAGAAAAGACTCTAGGAAACTGCTGTGCCCTGTACCTCCCCAACACAGGGAGGTTTGGGGCCCATGGCCATCTGTGGGAGTTTTGAGGCTGTAGCTCCTGAGGAAAAGACCTTCTCCATACATGCCACTCCCACCCAGAGTCCACGAGGACAAGACAGACAGGTGGCAAGGATGGAAAACACCTTTTATTACCAGCTTTCGCCCACACCCCAGTGGGCGGACTAGAGGCACCCCTAGGCATAGTACTGCAGGTTGGCTTTCTTCTTGGCCTGCACCTCTAAGATGCCCTCCATGTAGTCCTCGTGGGTAAGCTCCGTAGCACCTCTGCGCAGTGCGATCATACCCTGCAGCCATGACAGATACGGTCTAGTGTGGCCCCCTGAATCCTGAGCCCAACTTCCAAAGGCCTGTGCCCCTGATCTATCCAGGGAAAAGGCAAGGCTGAAAGAATCCACCAATCCCCTGACCACTCACCGCTTCCACACACACGGCTTTGCACTGGGCCCCATTGAAGTCATCAGTGCAACGGGCCAGCTCCTCATAGTTCACATCAGGACTGGAGAAAGGACAGACACCACAGAGCTTGATTACTCACGGAGGGAACGTGAATGGGAAGATATCTTACTATGCACCCACCAAACAATAAAGTCAACTTGCTTTCTGCTGGCAAGCAAGTCTTTACCCACCCTGACCTTTCTTTCATTATAAAATAAGGGGTTCAAGATTAATGAGATTAGACAAAGCCACTTATAAGATCTCTGATACTACAATCTTCTAGAAGCCTGCATCTGAGACTCCAGTAACCAAATCTGCCTGAGGCGAGAAAACAAGGGGTTCTATAGACGAAAGATAACGCCAGAGTGGTGCATCACTCAGCCCAGCGCAGCTACCACATCTGTCCTCTTATGCCAAGCACTGCACTTAAGACATCATCATGGCACTGGGTGGTGGCAGTGGCGCACACATTTAATGCCAGCACTCAAAAGACAAGAGGCAGGCGAATATCTGAGTTCAAGGCCAGCCTGATTTACAGAGTAAGTTCCAGGACAATCAGAGATAGGCAGAAACCTTGTCTCAGGGGAAGAACAACAACCACCACCAAAACATCATCACGGCCAATTCTCAAAGTGGAGTAATTATCCCCAAGTTTCAAATAACAGAGCATGCTTAGAAGGTCAGGCCACAGGCTCAAAGTTGTACAGGTCTGAGCTCAAATCATCTGGTCCTGGTAAGATTCTCGTAAGTCATGCTGGGCTGTGCCAACCTACTGGGCTGTGGGATTTATGTGTCTTCAGATGGGAGGATGAGACGCAGGTGACCTAGGAGTGTGCACAGGAAGGGGAGGGGCGGTCAGAGGCTTGGCAACACAGCACAGGAGGGCAGCTGACCTGACGTTCATCTTCCGTGAGTGGATCTGCATGATCCTGGCCCGGGCCTCCTCGTTGGGCATCGGGAACTCAATCTTGCGGTCCAGGCGTCCTGAGCGGAGCAGGGCAGGGTCCAGGATGTCCACTCTGTTAGTGGCTGCAATTACCTAAGGAATAAGGGAAGCAGCAGCTTCAACTGAAAAGCAGTGCATCCAGCCACAGGCACGAGTCGAGGCAGGTCAGGGTATAGGAAAGATGGGTCCAAACTCTGCCAGTACCAGATCCCCGGGTCAGCCCAGCAGCTCAGCTGCATTTTATTCACCTTTACTTGGGTGTTGGGCTGGAAGCCATCCAGCTGGTTCAGAAGCTCCAACATGGTCCTCTGCACTTCCCGGTCCCCTGCCTTTTCACTGTCAAAGCTGCGGTGCACAGGAGCCCGAGATGCCAGTGACATCACGGCATAAGCACAGGCTATTCCAACTTGTCCAGGGAAATGGTTGCCTCAACTTGAGGCTCCCAGCCCAGGGACTGGCACAGAGAAAGGTGTCACCAAAAGTTAACTGCAGCATTCAACAAAGCTTGCAGAGGCTTCTGGGATCGGATGCTTGGCTGACAACAGACAGTGAGCAGAAACAGCCAGGGCTAGGGCTGTGGCTTTGAGCAATGTGTGATCCCACAAAACTTTGCTCAGAGAATCAGGAGCCTAGGCATCCAACCCCACTCCAGGAAGGGCTCATGAGTCTGAAGACAATGGCTGGGCAACTACCCAATGAACAGGAAAGAGCCGAAAATCAACTGGACACTGGGAGGGTGTCCAGGGTGGGGGCAGAGTGAGACTGGAAGGACAGTCACACAAATGTAGCGCTTATGCTAAGGAGCAATGGGGTGAACGCTCAGAAGGGCTTTAAATAGGATCTGTGGGCAACAGATTTGAATACACACGAGATGACTGCATTTCTTTTTTGAGAGAAATGTGGCAGCTGCGAGAATTTAGGAAGCAGAAAAACAGAAGAGTTACTACTCAGGGAGGAGGGAGGAGCAGGATGGGAAAGAGCTGTAATTTACTTGGGATTTGAGCTCCCACCACATCCCTCACCCCCAGGAACCCTTGGAAGTCTTTAGCACACTCCCTTACCGCTTGGTACCAATGGCATCCAACTCATCAATGAAGATGATAGATGGCGCCTTCTCCTTGGCCAGGGCAAAAGCATCACGGACCAGCTTGGCGCCATCTCCAATGAACATTTGCACCAGCTGGGGGCCTGCCAACTTCAAGAAGGTTGCCTGAGAGAGAGGGGACAGATCAGCCCAAAGGCCCAAGAGGTTCTAAGAATCTTTAAGCCCATCTCATACAGTTTCAACCCACCCACCTCCTCCTCAGTGGCCCCCGCACACACCTTGGTCTGAGCTGCACAAGCTCGGGCAAGCAGAGTCTTCCCTGTACCAGGTGGCCCGTACATCAGCACTCCTTTTGGGGGTTGGATACCCAAGTTCTCGAACTTCTCTTTGTGGTTCATAGGCAGGACAATGGCCTCTACCAGCTGCCAGGAAGAAGTCCTGGGTGAGCAGAGTGATGCCCTGAGGGATACACCCTAGCCTAATCTGCCTATTTCCTATTCCAATGCAGACACTCTACTCTCTCTCTCCTACAAAATGACATTAAAGTCCCCATTTCCCACCCCAAGGACAGTTACCCTAGAACTGCAGGCCCTGGCCTGGGTTGGGTACATGGCTCAGCTGTTCAAGCACCCGTGGAAAAATGCAAGCATGAACATAAGTCTATAACCTCAGTGCAGTGGAGACACAGTCAGGAGGACCACGAGCCTAGTTCCAGGTTCAGAGAGGGACCATGTCTCAGGAAGAAGGTGGGGAGTGACAGATCAGGAGACTTGACATTTCCTGTGCATGCATGCACCTGCACCGTATCACAAACACTGAAGGAAGGAGGAGCCTGAGTGGAGTTTCTGCACTAGCCCCTTCAATCTCTCTGGAATCCAGGCTATCAGCAGTTAACACTGCTTTTTTTTTTTTTTCCTCCTTAAGCAACTCTTTTACAACGATAAAGGCACAATGAGGGAATACAATCTGGTCAAATAAGTGAAAAAACTACAATAGGCTGGCAAGGCTGCTGGCAGCGGCCATGCCTCCCTCACCTCCTGGATCTGCTTGTCCAGGCCCCCGATGTCACTGTATTGCTCTGTGGGCCGCTCATCCACTTCCATGGCCTTCACCCGAGAGTCGTACTCTGTGGGCAGGGTCTCCAGGATCAGATAGGAGTCTTTGTTCACACCCTGAGGGCAAAGCAGAGAGCCTGCACTCGACTCTGCCTAAAGGGCTGGAGGAAGAGAGCTATGAACGGGAAAATACAAGAAGCACAAGATCGCAGGGAGAAGTCCTGCTGAAGCGCCAAGTTCAGAGGCAACACTCACCACCAGGTCTCCTGGCTTCAGCTTCTCTGCATCCACCAAGCCAATCACTGGCAGGAAGTATGTCTTCAGGAAAAATTACAGGCAGTTTCAGCTACTTCCTCACTGAAGCTCCCCAGGGCTGCCCCTTGCCCCTGTCTACTACTGAGCCAGCCTTACTTGTCGTGTGGAAGTTTTGATCACAGCACACTTGCCCTTCCTCTGTGAGTCCAGGTCAATATTGGCACCATCCTCCTCCTGGTCATTGGGATCAACGTCCAGCAACTAAGAAGAAAAATAAGCCCAATCCCTTGAACTTCCCAG